AGTTCTTTTCCGTTACTACAAGGAACTTAAAAACAGTCATTGTCGAGACGTGTTTATTTCTCTTCCAATCAAATATATTTGTCTTGATTAGATAAAATGTTTAGCACCATCGGAAACACCTAAAATCCCTCTTTTTTTTTTATTCTTACAAAAGAAACAGAAGCTAAAAACACCACCATGTAGGGCTGTGCAGTGAAGTGGAGACCGTTCATCTTAAAGCTGTCCATAGGCCACTATTAAGATCACACCACATTAAATCTGGATTCACTTGATAAAACAAATCAGTACGAAAAAAACTAAAGAAAGATGACTTGGAGTCTCCCTCTATCTAATGCTCAGAGCAAGTTTTGAATCAAATTGATTTTTATTCTCATCCTAAGATTTCTTTCTCTAATTCGATGATATATATTAGCAAAGAATTATATTTGTACATCTCATACGTAAAAAACAAAACAAAAAAACAAATGAAAAAAACAGCAACCGGAAAACTCTATGTACAAAATGTACAAACATGGGGGGGGGTGTTAAGTACTACATCAGGAGGGAGGGGGAAATAACATCTGGTTAAAATATCACAAAGCATGGAGGCTCATATTGAGCCCAGCGTGCTCGGACAAAAATTTATAGCAATAAGGTCACTTAAGAAATTAATTACATTAAGAAATTAAATTTCAAATTTTGAATCTTAAATATGATATAGATAAGCGATAGCATCTGTCTTTATTATCCTCTTTATTCTTTGAGTGTCTTCGTCAAACACTGTGTCAGTTTTTCGTTTTGACAAACCGCAGCCTAAATCCTCCATAGTTTAGCTCGAGAGGTTACAATCAAGAGAATTTAGTTTGAGAATCCAAATTCGGATCAGCACTTAAATTTGTCAACATGGCGACTACGATTCATCAGGGAAGCGGCGGAGGCCAACTGTCCTTCATAGGGGACAAAATATTACAAAAAGCACACGACAGAGTTCTGGAACTCCGTCGTACATTTTACAATCTTAACAGAAAGTAGACATTCTTTGAAACCGGGTAGAAACATATTGTATCGCTGCTTTAGAGCAGTCAACAATATGGGTGGTGGGAGAAAAGGAAAAAGGGGTTCGGGGGTTACAAATGTCGATCCATCTACTGTACACCGAGTCAAATAACGTGGGTTTCACATATCAAAATCCATTCTTTCACTTCTATTGGCACAGCCCTACTGTATACAAAAAGTATTACACGAGGGTAGATCAGTTCACATCATGAAACGAAACAACAAAACAATTCACAAGAACAAATAGTCTTTTAAAAAAAATATCAAGAAAAAAAGAAAGTATACATATAAAAGTGCTTTATAATGTTGATAAAACAGCACAAAATTGCTATAAAAAAGGTAGAAGAACTTTGTGAAGCCGCACCATATTGTTGAGGATTTTTGCACCTGACAGTTTTTCAGTTTCGAGGCGCGGAGGTTGAGGCGGAGGGTGACCCGGCCTGGTCGCCCTGCCGCCCTCCAGCCGCCACGCTCACCGACAGTTGTACAGTAATGTCATTGGTCAGGATGAAACTAGAAAAAAAGTAGCTCACCACAGACTTTGATCTGAAGATATTTTTTTTTTCTTTGAATGACAGAAAACATCATTTCCCATGTGGCTAGCTTCACTTCCTGTTTGTGCAGATCCAGCGATTAAATGAGCACTATATTAAAAACAGTATAAAAGCTGTAAAACGCAGAAAAGAGGATATTTTGCAGTCTACTCTCCGTCACTCCCAGGTTTCCTCTGAAGTGAACTGAAGGGCACGGACAAGTTTTTTTTCCACTAAGCGTAAAAACATTTTTTTTTTTTCAGCACCAGGTTAAAGAGCTTCGTATAGTCTAAAGTTGCAGTGCCACATGGGTTATGATGCTTCTCATCATTTTGGAGCACCATGGTATTGTAACCACATTACAGTAGTACCTTTTATTACCTTCAGTTGTGTATAGAAACTGTAAACAAAGAGGTATATGTGATCTGGTGTTTTGGATTCTCAGAGACACGGCTCTCCTGACACTGAAGAAAAATCGCCTTCCTCTGTGAGGCTCAGTAGCTGGAAGCACGGCTGCACAGCACTGGGAGTCTCGCAGCCCCCCCTCCCCCCTGACGGCACAGCGCGCTCACACAGCAGAAACATTTCACACGTCTCTAAACCACGTTCCGATGTTTCCAGTCGCGTCTCTTTTGAAAAAAAAACACGTGTTAAGCACTTTTCTGTCTCAGTGAGAAGAAAGCATAGTCTCAAGTATAGCTTGCACAAACAAAATCAACAATACTTGATAACACTGCTAAAAAGGTAAAATGACATATCAAAATTAAATAGAATAAGAATTAAAATTCAAATACAAGAAATAATGTGAAAACTACGTCAATGTTTCGCTCACAAATTATACCGAGAGTATAACTTGAGGATCAAGGCTCTTATTTCTAGTCACAATAGA